ATGAGTATTTTGCAACAGTACAACACTTTGCCATTTACATGACTGGCATATGCGCAGCCTGTTCTTATATACAATTCCCATCGCTTCTACTTCTATGTTTCTACTAACACGACCAGACACCAACGGTACCATCTCTGCGTCCTTCAACCAGATAGCCATCTTTTATTCTGACGTGTTCGATGATAGAGTGTGTCGTCTTGTCGTTCTCGTCAGCTCCGGGTCCGCAGTCCCAGTGCCTTCCGTCTGTCTTGTCGTAGACCTTGACTACGTCTGCACCAGCTGCAGACACAATCCGACGTGAGTCGAACATCATGCTGCTAATGGCGTGGTCGTAAGCGTAGGCGTCGGCAATGGCGCCGGTTCGGAGATCCCAGATCTGTGCATGTTAGTTAGGGAATAGTCGCAGGAAAGATAGTTGACTTACGCGTATACTCCTGTCGGCACTACCGGTCACGAGGTGTACGTCATCGAATTGCAGGGCTGTTACAGGACCTGTATGGCCGACAAGACTTCGGTGAACTTGCCCGCTACGGAGATCCCATAGACGTACCATACCATCAGCGGTACCACAAGCAAGTGCGGCATCGAAGCACTGTATAGCGCCTACGAAATCGGCAGAGGAGTCGGCAGAGCGTCCGGTCTGTCGCCATGTGCTATTGGAGGTGTTCGTAGCTGTGGCTTGGGCGGCAGCCCAGAGGACATCGAGCGTCTGCACGCATCGTCCCTTGACCAGATCCCATTGCCGTAGTGTCTTATCTGCAGAACCGGAAACTAGAGTGTCGCCACGGAAATGTAGCGCAGTGACTTCGTCGACGTGTGATTCGAGAGAGAAGAGAGGGCAGTCTTGCATGCTGGTCGACGGCGGCGCAGGAGGTGCGTCTTCCGAGTTCTCGAATGCCAGACCATCATCGCTCTCTTCATCGGGCTTGTTTATCCGGTTATCCATGGGTGCGTATTCGGCCTTGCTCAGGTCCCAGAGTTTTATCGAAGCGTCCATTGAGCCGGTTGCGACGATGTTTTCTTCGACCTGTAAGCAGCGCACGGAGGAGAGATGACCCTCGAGCATTCCGATGCACCGTCCGGCGCTCAGATCCCAGACTCGTACTGTGTCGTCTAGCGATGCGGTCACCATCATGCCCCACGGAGCGTCAAAGTCCATGGCGGTGATGGCGTCCATGTGCGCGGGCAGTTCCTTGATCTTGGATCCTGACTGTAGATGCTCGTGTAGTACGGGCATGGACATCCTCTTTGACAGCCTCTTGGCCTTGTTCTTCGTCTTGGGCGAGGAGGGTATCTTCTGGTATATCGACTCGGACATGAATTCGCCCTTGCCTTCTGACTGCTCGTCGCTTGTCTGCGACCCTGCCGTCTTGGGCGCTAGTGCGGCTTCGTCGTCCAGCTCTTCTTGCAGGTCCTCAATGCGGTTGTCCACGGTCAGCAGGTCCTGCTCCAGCTCGCCCTCTTCGATTTCGAGCCCCGCCAGACGGTCGAGGACCATCTTGCGCATGGTATTGAGGTTGGCAATCTTGTTGTCGATTTCGTGTATCTCGGCGACGCACATGTGCTTGCGCACGCCCATCATCTCGAGGCGGTGGCCCATGCTGTTGCGCTGCTTCCGCAGCTTCTGCATCGAGGGGGGCACATTGGGATCGTCGTCGTCTTCCCCGCCACCGATCAGGCGCTGGCCGCGCGCGTTGTGGCGGCCGTGTTTCTTCGCATGGCTGTCGGGGGCGTCGGGCAGCGAGGCCTCGAAGCCCTGGAAGAGGGAGAACTCGGCGTTGTCCTCGGGGATGTTGGAGAGCAGGTCGTTGGGGATGTAGGCGAGGGCGCGCTGCTGGATCTCGGGGACGGAGATTCGCGAGCGCACGATCTCGCGGGGGGTGGTCTGGGCGAAGGAAAAGACGGAGCGCTGCATCAGCGGGCGCCTGAGCTCGCGGTGGAGCTCGCCAATGGCGTTCTGGTAGTGCTGGGTGACTCCTTCGGCGCCTATCAAGCTGCCGGCGGTGGCTGTGACTTTTTTGCCAAAAGCTTGCAGATGGCGGGTCTAGCGAGCATTAGCATCACCGTGGGCTCAGGGAAGGTGCGGTGGGGCTACATCGGGGAGCGAGTCTATGAAGCTGCTCTCGTCGTCGTCGTCAAAGGCCTGCGAGTACCGCGGCGAGCGCGGGCTGGTGGACCGGCCGCGCCCTGGGGATCCATTGCGGGCGGTGGACGAGGCCATGCGAGCAGGCGTGGCGGGAGACTCTACGGGCGGCGCAGTGAAGGAGACGTCGCTAGGGCATCCTTATCTTCGCATTAGGATCTCAGACCGGGTGCTCGCGTGTGCTACAAAAGGCCAATAGGCGGTGAGGCGGGAGGCGCGTCGGGTGCTCGAGATGGTGATAGTGGTGTTGCGGAGGGGAGTGACTATCGAGCTCACCAGTCGGCACCCGCCTGCGTCATCCGCCGAAGAGCACGCCGATGCTCGGGACACGACCGGACTGCCATGGCTGCAAACATCACTCACCCGCATATCTGCCCTTTTGGGAGCTTGAGAAGGAACTATGGACGCGATTGACCTCTCCGACGCGTCCAAGGCGCTTGACCTGGCCAACATCCGCTTCCAGCTCATGTACGCCTCCCCGCCATGCGCGCCTGAGTCTCACTGACAGCAGACAGTCGGCTCGAGGACACAATCACCTTCCATCTGATCGAGCGCGTGCAGTTCCCCCTCAACCGGACCATCTACGTCCCCGGCGGCGTCGACATTGGCGAGCCCGAGACCAGCCTGTTCGACTGGATGCTCCGCGAGCAGGAGCGCCTGCAGTCCCTCGTTCGCCGCTACCAGTCGCCCGACGAATACCCCTTCTTCCCAGAGGTCCTCCAGGAGCCCATCCTCAAGCCCCTCAACTACCCGCAGATCCTGCACCCGAATAATGTCAACGTCAACGCCCAGCTGAAGGACTGCTACATCAAGCACATCCTGCCCGCCGCATGCCTGCAGACAGACCGCGAGGACAGGGGAGAGTCGCAGGAGAACTACGGGTCCTCTGCCACCTGCGATGTCATGACCATCCAGTCCCTGTCACGGCGCATACACTTTGGCAAGTTCGTTGCCGAGGCCAAGTTCCAGCAGGAGACGGAGCGCTTCGTCAAGTTGATCAAGGACGAAGACAGGAAAGGTATCGACGAGGCCATCACAAACGCTGCGGTAGAGAAGAAGGTACTGGAGAGACTGAGGTTAAAGGCCAAGACGTACGGCACAGACCCGGACCTGGGCGCGAATGGCTCGTCCAAGGTGAATGCAGACGCGGTCGTTGGCATGTACAAGGTACCTTCAATATCCTCATTGATTCATACTGCGTACTAACAGACAATACAGGATTGGGTCATTCCCCTGACAAAGGAGGTGGAAGTGGAATATCTCATGCAACGACTAAAAGGCACACAATGGGAATAGACCCGCGCACAATCAAGAATAACAATACTGCCCAATACCCTGACCCAAGCCGCCCTCACACTCGAAATACATGACCGAAGTGGACTGTTCGCCGCGAATTTCCCTCTGGCTTATCCGTCGTCTAGTCCAGCTCGTGGAACTTGACAACGTGGGGCTTCTGGGCTTCGCACTCGAGCTTGGAGTCTTTCGGCGCGTAAATTTGGGCACGGCGAGCCTCCTCTTTCCACTCGTCTAGCTTCTGCTCGAGCCTCCTCTCACACGTACTGAAGTATTTCCGCCAGATCAAGTGCCCAAAAGCGCTGCAAGTCATCGCCAAGTTCATCGCAGCCATCAACGTAGGCAACGATTCGACGGACGGACCAGACTGACTCAACAAGAAGCCCATCGTGATCCCAGTAACCAGGCAAAGTCGCTGGTAATAGTCCCCTCGATTCATGTCGTACTGCATCCAATAGTCCAACATGGACATAATCGTGACGAAGATAACAAAGCCGGTTGACGGATTGGTCACGATTCTCGGTTGTCTTGCAGACTGACACTTATCGGCCGATTGCCGGCAGCCGTAGTAGTTCTTCACGATGTTGTGCAAGCCCCATTGCCCCCAGGCGAGCATGCATGTGATTCCGAAGTTGGAGTTACGTCGCAGCTCGATTACGCCATAGACACGTCCAGCAAAAGGTATGCGTCTTCTCATGTGGTCGCGAACGATCGGTTCAGGCTGGCGCACCTCCGCATAAACAGTTCGAGCCTCGGGTGTCTCAGCAACAAACACAACTGGTCTTGTCGATGACCTGTCGTAGGCGCCTTGTGGTTTCGGATCAGTCGGCAGGTCTGCGCCCTGTTCTGAAGAGCTTTCGAAATCCTTCTCTGGGTACAATGCCTTTGGCTGCATACGAAAGCTATACACATTTGACTTCGTGATAGCTCGGAACTTTGCTGGCCAGTCTTCAGCCGATTCCTTCGACTTTGGATAAACGAGCATTACGTCGAGACCAAAGTCTTCGGCGCATTTCTCGCTATCGCAAGGCTGGACATGACGAGGAGAGGCGCGGGGAAGGTACTTTGACAGGTTGAAGATGCCTGACATTGTCGCTGATGGAGGGGTAGGTATTGCGGAATCGCGTGCGTAACCAATCAATCTTGTTGTTATTGGAAATTCGAAAAGCAAAACTGGGAAAGTGTCCTAGGCGTTCTTGTGAGGGGACCTCTTATTTGAGTTGGAAGGAGGCATATGACGTTCGGCTAGGTGTTGTCTTGATCGGTGTATATCTCGCGAAGTGCTGACCGGATCGTCGGCATTACAGCTATCTATTGGCATCGTCTGTTTGGTCGCGATTAACCTGCACCACATATGGGCAGGCTTTAGGCTGGGGTGCTACGTCAGTGGCTTGACTTTACATGCTTCTTCGCTCCGACCATTACAACGTACTTGGGGAAGTTTTTGAGTGGGAGATGATGAGATAAATGACTACATTAATGGAGCAACTATTGTTTCGTCGGAACTATAACAAAACATGATGAATTGGAAACCACCCGAGAACTCCAATTTCGGCCTTCCAGATCACTCATCCTCGTCATCGCTATCATAGTAGTCCGCCGATGGCGAGTAAGGCTTCCACCACAGTGTGAAACCCTCCTTGGACGTCTTGTACTTTTGCATCCCAACCTCCACATATTCTTTGGCGTACTTATCCATCAGGCTGAAGCCAATGATTACGTGCGAGTCATGATCAAACATACTCCTTGTAGAGTTTCTGTGCCGCATCAGCACTCCAGCGAAAATACCATTGAGAAGAATCTTAGGAGGATTGGAGAAGCTGGTAGGTATCCAGGGTTCTGATGTGTCGCTGGCTGCTATGGAAGGGGAATTGGTGCGAGAGAAAATTGGGATGCTATTCGTAAGTAGTGCGCCATCCATTCCAAACAAGGGTTGTTTCCTGCTATTGCCAGTAGTGTGGCTGGAGGCTACCTCACACCCAGCATCTAGTTCATGGGTCGTTGTACGGTCCTTGGGCTCCGTTGGGGTACGGTTGGTAGTTGCCATAGGTATGTCTTCCATTTCGTAGAGTGGAGATTGTTGCCCAGTCTTCTGAGACAGGTGCTTGGCGAACCTCACAGGCATACCGTCCATCTCACAGACCGTAGGTTGAGGCTTTCTGTTCTTGGGAACACGCCTGGCGACTCCCTCCAGCTCATGAATCACAGGTTGCTTCTTTGTTCTGGACGGAACCAGGCCGGCAGATACTATAGCACCGCTATCCAGTTCATGAACTGTAGAATACTTCCTGGTGATTTTGGGTGTCTGACCGATGACTGCATCCAGTTCATGTATCGTAAAGTTTTGCTTTGAATTGTAGTGAACGTGAGCGAGAGCTTCTTCCAGTTCATGGATCATAGGCTGTTGCTTTGTCTTGCTGGCACTGTGAGTGGCAGTTACTACGGGCATACTCTCCATCTCGTGGACCACAGAAGAGTGTTTCGCTGATTCAGGCATTTTGGTGACTTTCATCGGCTGAGCTGATTCATCAGGAACGTACAGCTCGTGAATCCCATCGGTATCATTGCTGAATTCAGACTTCCTCATTTTTTCTGGTGCTCGATGACGTGTAGTCTGAACAGGTAGTTTGATCTGTTTGCCTTTAGACTTTCTGCAGATCATGGAGCTCGCCTCAGTGGTCCCGGGAATGGTGCTTTTGAGAACGGTATCTTTCAGCTTTTTGAACGCTGATCTCTTTGAGCCTGTGGGCTTCTGCACACCAGCTGATGTTTGACTTTGATGGAGGCTCGATGTGTCTAGCAGGGTCGGTGTTTCAGGAAGAGATCGTGGAATCTTCTTCCGGTTCTCGTCGGCAGTCCGATGGTTGTTGAACGATTGGTATGTATTCTTCGGTTGGTCATTGTTGATCGGCTGATATGCTTGGTGCGTAGTCTGAGCTGGAGGACTTCTAGCACTCTGTCCTTTCAGGGATTGCGCCCAACCCCTCGAAGCAGTTCGCGCACTTGTTGAGATGTTGTCGTGCTCTTGGTATGTAGTGCTTTCCTTGTCGTATATGACGATCTCTCCTACAAACCGTGCTGCGGTAGTCACCGTAGCTCCTTCTTCGCTCGTATTATTTGCTTCACTGTCCAAGCTGCTCTTGTCGCTCACTGTGTCGACAAATTCTTCATCGATCAATTTGGCCTCGCCATCTGAGCCGCTGTCGTTGTTTTCCACGCTGATAGTCTCAGATCCTGCTTCTTCTTCGTCTTCCCATTCATCATCACTAGATGCAATAGGGGAGCTGTCGCTGGCTACATCGTCGCTAAGCTCGCTATCCATGTCATCTACCGAAGCATTGTTGAGAGCTTCATCGGCGTCATCACTTTCGCGGTTGGCGTCTCCGTCTTCACCACTCTGGTTATCCTCGCTGCCCGGGTAATCGTCGTCATCGTTCTCGCCATAGGCGTAGCTAATGTTTCCTTCCTCAGTGTAGGTAGCTTCCAGCTCGACAGGATCCATGATTTCGGCAAGCCAAGATTGTTGGGAAGAAGGGGGAGAGCAGCAAGAGTCGGTCGAATCGCAGACGACAAGCAAGGAACAGTGACCATACGAGAGGTTTACACCCAAGAAATACTCTTGGGTAACCAGTATTGCGCGTACGTACCCGTTGTTGGGAGACGTTTTGTTCCGCGTGTACTGCATTCCATGCATGCTGCCATCACTTTGCTGAACTGGGTATTTTGACCTTGTGGTCCGACCGGTGAGCAACGGCAGCAGGACGGGTACTTACTGTGGTACACCTCCTCTTCTTGCAACACAGAAAAGTTCCTGTATCATCTTGCGTCAAAGGAACTTCCAAACTCGCCGGATGTACAACACAAGTACATGTGTTGTGCTCTTCAGTGTTGTTGATCCGGTCTTACCCCTCCTTCTGCCCATGTGTATTGTGAAAGGGTCTTACGTGTCATCTCGTGTAAGACGTGTGCCCTTACTGATCCGCTGTCTGAGCAACCAGCATCAGACATGATCGAAAAGCTCCAGCCACATTCATGAGCGGTAGACCTTGAGGGATTTGCCAGCCAGCTTTCGCTAATCACGTCGTGACTGTCTCTTCCTTGTCCACAGATCAGCAGCAAGAGTATTGTGTGACTTCGAGCATCGTTGCCGCGCCCATACCTTCAATGGTTTATCGGTCCTATCGACGCCAGTGCAGTATTGTCTACCCGACAGACTCCGATGAGATTAGCAAAATGTTCAGTCATCCATCGAAATGAAGGCAGATGCCGTCAGGTTTCAAAAGCAACAACGAGATCTCCGAGAATGACGGAACGGAACCGTAAATTATTCGAGTGCCGTCCCAGATCCATGTGTACCTTGATAGTCGCCTTGCGCACGGTGGGTGCAGTGAGTTTGAGTTCATTGCCACGCATGCCAGTCCTTGAAGGTAGATGTGCAACTGGGTCGTAAAGTTTTCGTTCAGCGTTGAGCGTGAGCCCACGATCGCGGGTCCAAAAATAGCAAATATAGCGTGCCGCCGGACAGACTCCGATGGTGCGTCAGTGGTGTTGGTGTCATTGTTTAGCTCCTGGCTCCGTCTTTGAGCGTGGACCCTGGGCGCGAGCCAGGCAGGTGATCGGCAGCCACAGCCGCAACAACCGGCTCGATGATGCCATTCCTGCCAGATGTCAAGGCTCAACCTTCCACCATCTCGGTTCAACCCCAAGCGACGTCGTATTTCGATCCTTCGTTCACGAGTGATCTCCATGCTAAACTTGGAATTATTCAAGGTGATGGAGTCAACGCCGATTACTGATATTACGCTCGTCCCCACACTCGGACCACCCATTTCTGTGGACGATGAGGTCGTTCGGGAACGGACCGATCGAACTCTACGAGATTGCAGTCATCATTCACGCGGCCGACATACTCAGGTCCACAGCACTCAGGCTCGACTTCAGGAACATAGGACATCTCTTTTACGCTTCCAGTGTGTCGCTAAGCTACCTAGGTATAGTGGTTCGCGAGCACTCTAGGGTATACCGCGTTGATACGAATGTGGAAGAAGCAGTCGCCTACCATCGCATGTACGGTGTTGCAACGGCCATCAGAATACATATAGCCAGGACGTCATGCCGTTAGTTTTCCGAACTAAGGCCATGCACAGCCGATCGGCCAGCGCCCAATGCATACCTGGTTCATCCTACTAGACGTCACATCTCGTATGTTTAGCACGATCCAAGCTCGGCTAGGTCTGCCAACTGCCCGGATAGGACATGCCTGTCGCCTCATCCGGTCACCCCGGATGCCGCTACTGGTTCGTGACACCGTTGGCAAGGGTACTGAGGCTCCAAAAATTGGGGTAGAGTGTGGTTTCGGCGCTCTCGGCATGGTCTGAGGCTCGTGTTCCTGGAGAAATTTCATGGTACACCTTTCTCGTATGTTCTAGTGGGTAAGGTCAAGGGTGACGCCTGGTGTCAATCTTCTCGTATTGAACCTTGGGACGAGACGGACATGATGATCGTGGTAGGAGTACAGTACCCCAGATACGAGGTGGGATGACTATATAATGCCAGTGAGTATCTCACTTTCTGCTCATCATCAAACACCAACTCTCACACTCAACTACAACCTACCACACTTTCCAACACTTCATCCCAACTTCAAACCAACTCCATCAAGATGCAGTTCACCACCATCGCTTCTCTCTTCGCCGCAGCTGCCGTTGCCAGCGCCGCACCTCTCGAGGCCCGCCAGGTCGACGCATCCTGCCCAGTTGCTACCCAGGGTGACTACGTCTGGAAGATCTCCAACTTCTTCGGACGCAAGCCTGAGGGAACCTACTACAACAGCTTCGGCTTCAACATCAAGGCTACCAACGGAGGTACCCTCGACTTCAACTGCTCTTCCCAAGCCGACAAGCTTGAGGACAACAAGTTCTACTCTTGCGGCGAGAACAGCTTCATCGACTTCGCTTTCTCAAGCGACCGTAGCGGTCTGATCATCAAGCAGGGTGTCAGCGACGAGTAAGTTCTTCCCATACCTTTGATTGCGCGGTCCGTTCAAATTTGCTAACATTTCCTCAGCCTCACCTATGTCGGTACAACCACTCTTCCCAGCTACTGCCGTGCCGGTGGCAACGGCCCCAAGGACTTCGTCTGCCAGGGTGTCTCTGATGCCTATATGACCTTCGTCCCGCTTCCCGCCGCCGCCGCCCCTGCGTGCCCGGCACCCAGCCAGTACTGAGCATAGGCTATGACCTTTCTCAGTGTTCATGATTATCTCAGCGATTCCTGTATAGACATTCCTTAGAGCCTAGACCTAATGCAACGTTAATTTCCTCATCATTCGTACCACTATGACTACGACGACGGCATCGTGCTACATTTATCTGAGACAAGAACTTGAGCTGCGAGTAGAAAAGACGACCGAAACCATCGGAAAACCAACTTTCGAATTGAACATCGCGTGTAGGGCATTGAAGCAAAGAGTAACGAAGTGCTGGACGCGCAAACCTCGCGCTTGCCGTAAATAGCATAACACCAGCGCGCGAGCGCGACAGCGTCTGACTCCATACAAGACGTGCAGTCCACGTCAAACCACCATCCACAGCTCGCACGAGAAAAGTGATGCCTGAAACACACGTCGCGCGAAACTGCCATCCTTGAAACCTCAAACCTCCTTCCCACGTGACACGCGACGCGAACTATAACACCATCGTTAACCCCCGAACTTGCCATCACCAAAACCGCGTGCAACAAACGCCGCCATGTCGCTCCTCGCCCGCGCAAAAGACCTAGCCTACAACCCCGACCACACAAGATGGATGACTCCGCTCCTGCTCGTAGCAGACGCCGCGCTTTCAGGCGTGATAATCGAGAAGATACCTTGTTCGTGCTCCTTTCTTACTCACCGAAAACTAACCACGTGTCCTAACAGCGAGATTTCTAGATACTGAGATTGACTGGACAACGTATATGCAGCAAATAGCCATCTTTCTGAAAGGCGAGCGCGACTATAAGAATATTGCTGGTTCGACAGGTCCGCTCGTGTACCCTGGTGCGCATGTGTGGATCTACAAGCAGCTTTACAAGTGGACGGATGAAGGGCGGGATATCGCTCTCGCGCAGTATATTTTCGCGGGAGTGTATTTGCTTACGCTTGGTGTGGTGTTTCAATGTTATAGGAAGGCGCGGGTGAGTACTTTCCTGTTCTAGCTAATGATGTTCGAGGTTCGCACGAAGTAGAAGCTGACATGTTGACAGGTTCCACCGTACATTTTCCCGCTGTTGATTCTTTCAAAGCGCATGCATAGCATTTTCATGCTACGATGCTTCAATGATTGTTTCGCAGTGCTGTTCTTCTGGCTGGCTGTCTTCTGCTACCAACGCGATCAATGGCATCTGGGGAGCGCGCTGTATAGCACAGGGCTGAACGTCAAGATGAGCCTGTTGCTGCCTCTACCAGCAATGGGTATTCTCATGGTCATGAAACTGGGTGGAAGAGAAGCCTTGACGCAGGCCATGATCATCGTGCAGGTTTCGGTGAGTAAATCATCGATCACGGAGTCTTATCAATTGATGCTAATCAAAATGTAGGTTTTGTATGGCTACCCCTTCAGGAAGCGCGCACCAAGCTATTTCGCCCGCGCTTTCGAGCTCAGCCGTGCCTTCCTCTACAAATGGACCGTAAATTGGCGCTTCGTCCCGGAATCTACGTTCCTCTCACGCCCGTTCGCCATTGGCTTACTCGCTCTGCATGTTGGCCTCCTCATCTGGTATGCGCGAACCCGCTGGATCAAGCCCTCGAAGCGCAATGTCAAAGAATTCCTCAAGCTTTGTATTCCAGCCATTGAGCCCCGGGATCAGGACACCATGTCCAGCAAAATCACCCCAGATTTCATTATGACGACGATGCTGACCGCGATGACCATTGGCCTACTGTGCGCGCGTAGTCTGCACTACCAGTTCTACGCGTATGTCGCGTGGTGCACGCCGTTCCTGCTGTGGAAAGCAGGGTTCAACCCGGCCGTTGTATACGCATTATGGGGCGCGCAAGAGTGGGCGTGGAATGTGTACCCGAGTACATCGGCAAGCTCGGCGACGGTTGTGGGCGTTCTGGCGATTACGGTCGCAGGTGTATGGTGGGGAACGAGGAAGGAGTATGAGGGCGTGACGAAGGGTATAATCGAGGAGGACCATGCGCACGCCGAGTGATGCGACGAAGAACTCAGTCCTCGTCAGAGTCGCTGGGCGGCATCTTGCCGACGGTCGATTCCTCGTCGTCGCTATCTTGGACGTACGTCGACTTCTTCACGAACTCCTTGGGCCTGTATACTATTGTTAGCGCTCTGTACCCATACTGCATGATACCCGTTTGAGCATACCAGTAGCTCATCTTCCTCCACGCCTTCTCATCGCGAACCACGTTCACGATCTCCCCATCCAGTTTGTTCTCACGGTCCGCCAGAGCAGAGGTATCTACGACCACATAACTGCCCCTCTTGATCCATACTGTGGATCTGAACCTCGCTTCTAGCTCTGCAAGGACAGGCTTGCCGTCTGGCAGCTCGGCGGCATAGATGTTCTTGCCTTCGGCTTTGGTGATGCGCGCGATCGCGTGATTCGGCGCCAAAGCGTCAGGCGGTGTGATTGTGCTGTCTATGGTGGCAAGGACATTGCGCTTTGGACGGGCCATGTTGGGGTTGAGCTTTGGTAAGCAGGATGGAGAAGTTATCGGTTGTGGTAGTTTTGGAGACAGTATGGGAGGGGTGGTCGTGAATTTCAAAGCAGGAAGGTGTGGCCGAGCTCGGTGGGGAAGTTGTCTCCGCTCCTCGGAGCCCCAAAAGTTCGCACTTTCACCACCTTCTGGGTATTGCGCCCTTTCTGGTTACAGGCCTAGACCCAATCTCTCTCCGACTGTCGGGTCCATTGCCAGGAATGAACGGCTATCTGCACCGTTAGACGCGTCTGTGTCCCTGCAAAACGTTTTGCAGCCTTTATGATCGACTTGCTTACCGACCGTCCACCATCTCCACACTGCTGCAGCGCGACCACACGATACTTACCCGCCAGCTGTGATAGGCCCCAAGTCGGAGCCGGCGCGTGTTTATCTGGTAATGTAGGGTAATTGTGCATCCCATGATTTATCAGCGATAGCGCCCTCAGCCTTTGCTACGGCCAGTAGTGTTCTCGTGGAAAGCTTCGTGGACTACCGTATTAAGGGTCTAGGGTCTCCCGCACTGGCACGTTGTCGCTCGGGCTACTTTCTTATCTATGACTATTGCCGTCGCATTTGCACTGACCTTGAACGCCCAATTACTTCCTACTACCTGAGACGCATAATCAGAACGAACGCTTCCAAGGCGCGTAGTCCAGGGCTTTTGCATTCTCTTCGAGTTCGCAAAAAGACACCGTAGACCGGGAACTTGGAGCCATGGCGTCCAAACTTCACAGTCTCTTCGACATTCAACCTGTTTCCGTGACCAACCCGGAACCGACATACCAGAAGAGCAAGGGCAAAGCACCTCAAACGCTCGGCGATGTAGGTGTACTACCGGACGTCGAACTCGTGGATTTTGCTTCTCGCAAAACAGGCGATAGCCGACAAGCATCGTATGCAGAGCATGAATTGCCCAAGGGCGCGCAGACCCCGAAAACCCCCAATGAACTCGAGATGAGTCGTCCGGCCACACCGAATCGAGAGGATGCAGTCGGTACTATCAGGACCTGGAACGCTCAACCGATGACCAAATGGAGAATCCTTTGCTGTTGCTTGATCTACTTTTCAAACGGAATCAACGACTCAGGTGAGTTGAGACATTGATATAGACCTGCCATTTTGGATTACTTTATCAGAATCAAGACTAACCAGTGGCCAGTCGTCGGTGCTTTGATTCCGTACATGGAGTCGTACTACCACATCTCGTACTCCATCATGTCTCTGGTCTTCGTTGGCAACGCCATCGGTTTCATCTCTGCCGCCTTCTTCACGAACACCATCCTAGGCAAGTTCGGAAGGGCAAAGACTCTGATCATAGCAGAATTGATACAGTTGTCCGCATACGTTATCCTTGTTTGCACCCCTCCGTATCCTTTGGTCGTTGTATCGTAAGTATTCAGTCTTGGAACTCAGTAACGCACCGCTGACCATGTCAGTTTCTTTCTCTTGGGATTCGGTGCAGCCATCAACCTGGCCCTCAACAACGTCTATTGTGCGAACACTCATCCACCTTCCGTCATTCTTGGCCTCTCGCATGGTAGTTATGGCGTCGGTGGAATAGTTGCACCCATTATCGGAACAGCAATCGTCTCACAAGGAATTTTGTGGTCGCGCTTCTACTTCCTTACCGTCGGACTGCGACTTTGCTGCATCGCTTTCGCAGCATGGTCTTTCTGGTCATACACGGAAGACTCTGAGGAAACTCTCTTGGAGACCACGACCAGTAGGCAAACTGCTGCGGAAGATGCCGCCTCCAAGATGAAGAACCTTAAGCTCGCTCTGAAGAACAAAGTCACCATCTTCGGCGCCTTGTTCATCTTTGCATACCAAGGAGCCGAAGTGAGCATTTCAGGCTGGTTCATCTCATACCTCATCAACTACCGTAATGGCGACCCTGCAAAGGTCGGATATGTCACAGCAGGCTTTTGGGTATGTTTACTTGTTGCATACTGTATCGCTTCTGCTAATTGCCGAATAGGGAGGCATCACGCTTGGCCGTTTTGTACTCACTCACGCTGCGCCCAGAATAGGCGAGAAGAGATTTGTCGTCATCCTCACTCTCGGCACCATAGCTCTTCAACTTCTGGCATGGTTGACACCAAATTTGATCGGAAATGCAGTCGCTGTCTGCTTGTTGGGCTTGTTGTTGGGCCCCGTCTACCCGTGTGCGCAGACTATCTTCTCGCGCCTCATGCCTCGTCATATTCAGACCACCGCAATCGGATTCATTGGCGGAGCAGGAAGCTCAGGTGGTGCGGTTGCGCCCTTCACAACTGGTGTTCTCGCGCAGGCTTCCGGTAAGCGACCTTTATTCTATGCGCAATCATCAGGATACTGATTCTTAAGGTACTTGGGTACTGCACCCCGTTGCACTTGGCATGTACGCTGTTATGCTTGCTTGCTGGTTCGCGCTACCCAAGGTGCGCAAGCGGACTGATTAGACTTCTCGACTTTGCGACAATGTCGGGCCTGGAACACACCGTGACCGAAGTGTTCGTCTAGTACGAGAAATGCGAAGGTTGATGATAGGCCACCATGACATCATTTTGAGACCACTAACATTGCGGGACCCGCGGAACGCGTTGTGTACCAACAGGATGACCACACCACGCTCAAGTATATAGCAAAGCGTACCTGCTTCTCCTGGATCGCTCACAAATTGGAAACCATTCTCAACAATATCCCAAAACACAATCTCCCACCGTCCAACATGTTCGCGACACAAACCATACAAATCTTGAGCATATCCACCGCGCTGTTAGCGTCGGGCGGCATCGCAGCATTGTCTCTCTTCGACGTTCCAATGTTACAATCACAGCCAGCATCTCGATCTCTTCCAATGATACGCTGGCTCTTCTCAAGAGGCTCCCACACGTTTCCAACAGCCGCACTCACATCCGCGTCCGGCTTCGTCTATCTCGCTTACAAAGCTCTCCCACCATCTTCCGTCAACTCGATTTCCTCAATCGTTCAGCATGCCGTCAAGGGCAAGCCAGGTCTTTATCTCGCCGCCGCCGCGCTTTCTTTCAGCATCGCGCCAATCACGGGTCTGGCAATGATACCCACGAACTTTGCCCTTATCAAGAAGAATGAAGAGTTGGGCGGGAGCCGAAGCAGGGCGTCTGCCGAGTACCGGGAGAAGGCTGGATCGAAAGAGCGAAGCGCTGATGAATCCGTGGATAGCAAGGATGACGTGAGTCAATGGAAGGATTTGAGTGTACCACAAGAGAAAACGGAGAGGAAGAGTACTCAAGCAGAGGATCAAGAGGTAAATGAGCTGTTGGACAAGTTCGGCAAGTTGAACATGCTGAGGGCAGTAGCTATTGGCTCGGGTGGTATCGTGGGGTTGATGGCTGTTTTGGCGTAGGCGTTATTATGTTGCTATATAACCCGAAGTATTCCGTAATCCAGCCAAGCACACCTAGCTCCCCGCAATAGGCGGCTCGCATCATGTCCAACGAATGAAAGCGCATGCACGTTACGAGCACGACATTGATTGCACCGCTGACGTGAGCTGGCTGACTACCTGTTGTGTAAGATAGCGGAAGCGGAATGGGGACGGCGATAAGCATATACCATGCGGAACATTCAGCTTGCTTTCAGCTCTTCGTGCCAGTATGTAGTACTATAAAGCCTTAATTATCTATCACAGCCAAATCTGGTCCAATCTTTCCATTGCGACACCTGTGCAAGATGCATCGCATATTCCTCCTCCCAGAACTCCTCATCCAGATCGTCACTCTCCTCCCCCCTTCTGAACTCCCCATATACGCTTCTGTCTCCAAGCACTGGAGAGAAACACTTCGCCTTAATCTCCCTCCGCGCCTTCTTCCTCTTCGCGACGCTTCATCAGCAATCCCCTCCACTGCTACAAAGCCCGAGACCCTTGACAGACTACCGCAATTTGTTTCCTCTCTCGCCCAAGACATTCTCGCACGAACAACACAGTGGATGAATCCTGGCTTGCCACTGGATATCTCGGATGACTACTACTTTTGGCATGAAGGCGCTTATGGGAATATTCTCTCCGCGCTTGTCCCGTTTTTGCATCCTTGGCTGGGGAAGCATGTGTGTGAATTGATAGGTGGGCTGGACGAGATGGCGAGGGGAGAGATGGGGATCTGTTTTAGGACGCGAATGAGCGTCAGGGAATTTCATGAGTGGTTGGCGGGGTGTGAGAACGAGACTGAAGAGGGTAGAATTAGTATGAGTGCATACTTGACGAGACCCGTGACGCGGAGTATCGAGGTATACTGTGTGGACGGTGCGGAGTGGGATCGGGAGTATCGCAATGTACTACATCGACATGGAAGAAGAGATTGGCAGCAGCGTTGTGTGAGGGTGGAGCGAGAAAAAGGTGTTAGGATGGGAGATGTTGTTGAAGAGTTGAGGGGTGTGTTGAAGACTAGTAAGATTGGGGCGCACACTGGAGAGGCGATACAGAGAGATGTGATGCTGGAGTGGAGATTTGAGGAAGCCGCAAGCAGAATGACAT